TAGTTCCTAGAAGTTAAAGACTATTTCTTAAAGAGCCGTTAGGCTTCCTCTATATAGTCTAATTTATATATAGTCTCCTTATATTAATAGCGGGAGGAAAATATAACACGTAGAGCGGGGTCTCGTTCCTATAGGGAACCCTTCTCGGAAGGGTATAGAAATATAGGCGATCCCCCTCCGGAGAGGTCAAACCTCCTATAGGCCTAAGGCACTAATCTAGGAATAGCCTTACGTCTGATTATATCATAATACTCTACGCTAAGCCTAGTAAGTACGCCTTCTACTAAGACTAAGTCGACTTCTTAGGGTTTATTATATCCCTAAGGGGCGTTTCGATAGACCCTCGCCGGGTTACTAATATCGCTTTGTAGGAGATTCCTAAGTCCTACCGGGATATCTAGGTATTCCTAGGATTTTATAATTTCTATTATAGGTTTATTAGGGATTACTCCCAAATTATATTACCGTTTATAGCCTTATTAAAAGGTAGTAAAAATAGGCGAAAGCTAGGCTAGGTTAACCTAATACTTAGTAAGAAGGTAGCCTTTCGCCGCCTAATCGCCGCCTTTTAGTTAGCGCCTCTCCTCTAATACTTCGACCTATTAGGGCCGATTCGGCTAGAAATAGATATATCGGATAGCGTTATAGCTAGGATTCTCTTCTAACCGAACGAGAATAGGGTATAGTACCTAGTAGCTTTTTAGTCGCGGAAGTTTAGTAGGGCGGAGACTCTTTATAGAATACTAGATTAGGAGTTATTCGCTATTATATACTCGTTTAAATACTAGCGATACTACCTCGAGGGGAGTACTTACCTAATTAAAGTATTTTCGGATTATTTAAACCTTTAGGCTTTTATAAAATAGCTAAAGCTTAATAGTAGATAAGTATAGTAGTATTTAGCCCTTACTCCGTTTGATTTTATAATAAGATATCGCGTTAGGAAGAGTAATCCTATAGATAGACCCTCTTAGCGCTAGCTACTAAGTAACTATAAGGTTAACCTAATCTCGCTATTAAGCCGCCGAATAGCTAGCGAATCGTAGACGACTAATTACCGTTCTATTATAGTCTAGTCGCTAATTATAAGTACGCTTATTTTAAATATCCTATATTTTAAAGAGAATAAAGATAGGGACGAATTAATTAGTATAATCGATTAGGGAGAGCTTAGATATACGCGTTATCTCTCTAATATATAGGTCGGGCTAGCTTACGCCTCCGAGTAGGTATACCTTACTAAGGTAGATATAGACTTTAAAAAGCTTATTAGGCAACTTTAGAGCGAAGACCTAGAGACTTAGCGCCGAAAGACCGCTGTAAAGTCGTCGACTCTAGGGTTAAAAGGCTAGAATATCGGGCCTAAGGGCCTTTTATAATTTAAGAAACGTATTTATATCCCTATAGAGAGTAATTTAAGAACTAAACTATTAAATATTTACTATAATAACCCCCTAGCCGGCTATTTTAGATATATAAGAATATTTAAGTTAATAAAAAGGAAATACTACTAGCCGAACCTCTATCTAGACGTTACCGAATATATAAGGAATTGTTAGATCTATTAAGGTATTATAGTAAGAACGTATAAGTTATATAGGGAGCTCTAACTATTACTAATCCCCTTACGACCCTTTATAGAAATTTCGATAGATTTTATAACTAGCCTACCGCTAGTAATATTCGAGGATAGATTAGTCGACGCGATTCTCGTAATTATTAATAGATTTATAAAATAGTCGCTATTCCTCCCTATTTTATTAACGATTACTACTAGAGACCTCGCCGAACTATTCTATAACTATATTAAACTACGCTTCGGACCCTCTAAGGATATTATATCCGACTATAGATTACTATTTATAAGTAAGTTCTAGTTAAAACTATACTACCTATTATAAATACGCCTTAGGCTTTCGACGGTATTTTACCTATAAACTAATAGGTAAACGGAACGTATAAACTAAACCTTTAAATATTACCTTCGGTACTTTATAGACGATAAGTAAGTCTTATAAGCTTCTTTACTAAGATCTACTAAATTTATATATAATAACGCTATTAACGTAATAACTAGTATATCTCTATTTTAGGCCCTATTAGGATATTTACCCGACTTTTAGTAACGTTTCGAGGGTAAAACTCCTTATAGAAAGGTCCTAGCGACGTCTACGCGAGTTAAGAAATTAGAAAATCTCTATTAGAAATTATAGGAATACTAGTAAAAAGTAAACGAAACTATAATAAAATATTATAATAAGGACTACGTTCCGATATAATTTAAAAAAGGAGATCTTATTAGCCTATTAATAAAAAACCTTAGATTAAAAGGGAGTAGAAAATTAGTACCCCGCTTTATCGGCCCTTTTCGCGTCTTATAGGCTATCGAAAAATAAGCTTACCGCCTAAGCTTACTTTAGTAATATAATTAAATCTATAATATCTTCTATATAACCCTCCTCGAACTATAGAGAAAACTATCTAGAAAAGGTAGCGAATCTCTACTAATACCCGACTTAGAAGATAAAGAGGAATATAAAGTCGAAGAAGTATATAATAAAAAATAAATTAAGAACGAAAAATACTTCTTTATTAAATAGAAAGGATAGCCCTCGGAATATAATTAATAGGTTCTTTAAGGAGATATAGAAAATATAACTAAAGTAATATACTTTTACTAGAAGCGGAAAAAGGAAAAAAAAAACCCTTAGTTACTATAAAGGGATAGCGAAACTACCCTAAAAGATAAGGGAAATCCGGCTAATAAGTAGGGAAGGGGACGCCGAAACGATAGTATAATAAAAGTATCTAAAAATATAACCGGGCCTACTCTTAAATCTCCTTTAAGGGAATAGGGAAATCTATTATAATCCGCTCCTCTATCTTATTACCCCCGATAGAAGTATTATTATCTATATTAGAGTCTAGGGTATCTTAAGCCTTACGAACCTCCGTCGAAATACCTTCGTAAAATACCCGCTTCGCTAAGGTCTATAGAATATATCCCTTATCTCTAGATAAAAGACGTATAAGTCCCTTCGAAAAACGGGCTACTCTTTACTCCTAGGTATTAAAGAAATTAGGGGCGGCGATAGGAGGGAGCGTAGATCGATAGCCTATAAGAAATATATTATAGTCGGCCCGGGTTTACTACCGAAACTATAATTAAAGAACGCCGAAAACCTTACTTAAAACCACTTTATTATATATCTTAACCTAGGTCTTATTACCGGTTAACCTATATTCCTTATAGTAAGCCTACTCCGAGGCGTCGAAGGACTTATAGAGCTCTATTATCTTCTCAGCGACTACTTAATAGGTCTCCGTAGAAAACGGCTATTCTAGCTCGTTACTATCCTCCTTAGTACTATTAATATTAACCTAGTCTAGCTAGAATATCTTATAGGCCTACGCTAGTACGTTACTTAGGTCCTAATAATCGCTAAGTACCGCGGTCGCGGCCTAAGAATTATTAGCCGCTACCTTTATATATAAAATTTAGCGAAACCTATAGGAATATATATCGAAGCGCGGCTAGAGTACTACTTATACGCGATAGAAGCCTTAGCGTCTATTACGTAGTTAATCTTAAAAGGGCGAGTCTAGTCCTCCTTCTACTTAGCGATTATAGTACGTAGGTAGTATATATACTAGAGGATCCTAATACGAACTAGGGCCTCTAAAAGAGGGCGGGTATTACGTACGGGGTTTCGTCGAGGTATCGTAATATTTCCGGTACCTCGAAACCGAAGAAGAGCTAACGAAACGATAATTCTAATAAAGGGAAAGATAGGGAAGTAAGATACGAAGAGTAGAAGTAAAACGAAGAGAGGCTATAGGATTATAATAAAGGGATACGTCCCCTATTCTTATAGACGAGATCTTACTTTATTTACCTACCTTACGCTCCTACCTATTTTATATCGTTTACCCTATTATATACTTCCTCCTAATTACCTATTACCCCGCGTAAGGGCACGCGATTCTTAAAGGAGGGATAATTTGTTATAATATAATTAGACGTAAGGCTATTCCTAGATTAGTGCCTTAGGCCTATAGGAGGTTTAACCTCTCCGGAGGGGGATCGCCTATATTTCTATATCCTTCCGAGAAGGGTTCCCCGCGGGAACGAGACCCCGCTCTACGTATCACATTTCCTCCCGCTATTAATATAGGGAGACTATATATAAATTGGACTATATAGAGGAAGCCTGACGGCTCTTTAAGAAACAGTCTTTGACTTCTAGGAACCACCTATCTTGTTACCTTCTCCTACCTGATTGATAGGCACCTACCCTGACTTATAGAGTATCTCTTAACATATATCTTTAGCTTTAGGATTAGAAGCTATAAGCTCTCTAATCTAATGATTTCGGTATTTCCACCAGGTAGATTAGTAATTCGCCATAGTAGTAAGTAGATTAGAACGATAGTTAGTAAATAATTGTAGGTTTATATAATAGAGATATATATATATATTATATAGAGTTGTTTATCAATAATAAACTAGTAAGAATGTATCCCTTGAATTCCCTATTATACCACATATTTCATTACCAAAACGAGATTATATAATTAATTATACCATACATTTCAAAACCAAACAGTGCCTTGGTATGCTAAACTGGGGGTAACCCCTCTGAGCATTGACCAGGTAACCCTAGTGAGAGGTCAGGGTGGCCCGCCTGGTCTGATTTCTGAGCAAAACAAGTCCGGGGACGCGTCTCCTTGTGTTGCAAACCCGGAGATTCAATCATTTGGTGTAAATTCCTGACGGCATGGCATTACTACTACCTTACCATATTACTTTACCCACCACAAAGAAAGTCTAGTCATTTCCACTCCCTAAAAAGAACCTGTAAAAAGTGTCGACCTTTCCACATTGATCCATGCGATATTACAAGAGCACGCACCCTACTCTTTGAGTGAATCATGGCCCCAGTTTTTGAGCGAGCGGTAACTCTTGCTACTCGTGTCATGCTTGTATCGCTCCTCTTGCGCTAAATGGCTCTTGCAGTAGGATACATGTGGTCAATGCCTTGATTGCTGTAGTCGGATGGGTTCTCGGTGGGATTGTGCTCGAGGATCCCCACAATCCTTCGGCCACTATCGCCGTCTTTAGCGCTCATTTCTGTTTTCTACTCGGCGGAATTCTGCGACCGAGGGCGACCGAGGAGATGATTACTAACTGACCTTTCACCGGTATGGGGTGCAGCGAGCCAGATAACCAGACCGGCGGCCATGACCCCCAGGTTATTGATTGCATCGCCGATAACGTGGATCATCACTCCCATTGATCAGTAGTCTCCCCGGAACCGCCCGCCCAACCCGATGTTAGTGATTGCTCTTGTTCAAGCCAAGCACGAAGCTCAGTCGCGGTCCTGTTCACAAGATTTTTGGAAAACGCTGGTCAGATTGTCAACCCTTTTTGTTTATTCAGCCTGTCAAGGGGAAAGTACTCAATCACGGTGTCTCTGTCCTTCATTGTTTCCACTGGGGAACTGTCCTGATGAGAACTGGTGAGCAGCATCGATTTGGCTAGTAAGAGTTTATCGTTTGGAAACTTCAATTTGACGTCACAGCGGCGGAAGCACATAGGGAAAGCCCTGGAAGCATTCTAAGGGTACTATGTCACGACGGCAAGGTCCCGAGTCATCTTCAATCAATCAATCAAAATTCAAGTAACCTGTTGCAGTCTAACTAGTTGCGTATGACTACACAGGCGCTTCATCCAACCGAAGCAAGAACTGGAAGCCAAACGCCGAGTTGGGACCCTATAGTGCTCTCTGGGAGCATACAGATGATGATCGCAAAGAGTGTGGAACCACCTATATCCCGTAAATTCCACAAACCCATACCTATACACAACAAAAATTAACATATAATGACTGCCCTGGAGTGCACCTTCCATCTTCCAACTCCCACACCTTTTCTCTCACCCTCTCTCCTCTTCTCCATATTGCCCCTGGCCTCTCCCTCAGTTTCACTTGATAATGAGTTTGTCTTGGCCAGTTGATTGGCATAGTTGTCGACATTAGCTAAGTTCCTCGTTTCATTTGTCATCATTGGCTAATACCCATCGTCTTCTACATCTACAGGTTCATGGCTGTAAGGCCTATCAGTTCTAATCGTCGTCTTCCTCCGTCCTCCACGAGTCCTACATATTAAAACTACCAAAGGAAAGCTGTTTGATGCATAAAGTTGACCACGTAGCGCGTGGCCTGTGGGTTTGATATGATTTTGTCATAGTCTATCTCAGTGATTCTGACTACCCAGAGCTGCTACCACAACCTCGTGCGCGGAATGATACACCGTGGGCACTACATAAGGATATCATTTGGTGTTTGTGAGCCCTCGTCACAACTGCACCGGTCTGTCTCGGCTGCCTTGATTTTGAACAAGAAGTGTCGAGGTCCGATCCTCATTATCCGCATCTGGATCAGAATTGGACATGAGCTCGTCTACCAGCCCGTAGAGTCTAACAGGCGGATTATTGGTTCACCCGTTCCGCCCCCGGTCGCAACTCCTATCCCCGCACCAAGATGGGCTGCGCTTTTCGCTTCATCGGCACATTCACTGCCGTCCCGAGGCCATCTTGGACGCCTTACATAACCTTGGAACGTGGCTACCTGGACAGGCGGGTTCCAGTGAACTGACACCCCCCTAGACAGGTCCCTCCTAAGGTCCCGAAATGGCGACCTACTATGCAATGTACAGTGTAACTAACTAAATACAAATTATGTAGTTAGCACATGTAGCATTTACCATTACCTACGTATCCAATATAAATATCGGTCCGCGGAGATGTAGGATCGACAAATCCTTATCTTGCCAAGACCCTTAATTCTGATAACTCATTCTCTCTTGACTCGGTAGATCTTTGCAGTGTGAACATGCGCGCTAGTCTGTCATCCTGTTAAGACGCTTACTTCTTATCTAAGGTTTAATGATCGTCATAACTTTGGATTTGAAGTAGCTAAGTGCGGGAGCTATTGGCATGTAACCATGCTAGGGGGATTTGCGCCGAGGTGCGAGAGATAAGCTATCCATTGCACCAGCAAGGGAACTCTAGAGACAAAAGGATATATTTCCCTGGCTCTCCCGAGTTGTATGCATCTCTTCCGCGGAAGGATTGCTACCAATTGAACCAATATCTCCAACTGATTGCGATTGTCTTCTAATCAAAATGACTTTCGATGCCTTCTCTCCTCACGAGGTGATTGAGGCCATCTCAAAATTAGGTGCACATAAGGGGAATATGCGGCTAGACAAGGTGCTTTTTAGTGCGGTGTCAGCTGGCTGTTTGCTTGCATTCGCTTGCGGGACTACTCTTAGTACCACTGCCGCACCCTGGTTTCAAGACAATGCCCCGGGTCTGATACGAACTATCGGTGCCTTGGTGTTTCCTTACGGTTTGTGTATGATCCTCCTAACAAGTGCAGACCTTTGCACCGGATCTTTTATGGTATGATTACCTACACAACAGATATGGTTACCTTGGTGCGAGCCGTCAAGTGACTAACGTGCATACTAGTTTACTACGGTGGCAGTCCTCCACCGGCGCTTGCCATGGTCAAAAATGTTGATTCACTGGGCTGTGACATTCATCGGCAACTTTGCTGGGTCGCTATTTGTTGTGGCTATCATCTTCGGTTGTATGGGAATTCTATTCTCCCCTATTGCTGTAAAACAATATGACTAATGTTGGACACAGATGGAAATGTTTTTTCCGCCGAGCCGTTTAGGTCCGTTGTTATTTCTTTTGCCACAAAAAAGCAGGTCACACCTGATTTCCACATGATACTCCTACGTGGTATTGGATGTAACTGGCTAGTATGTTTAGCTTGCTTTTTTGGTATCCAAGGGCGTGATCTGGCTTCCAAAGTGATAGGAATTTGGTTGCCCACGTTCGCTTTTGTTTCCCTGGGCTTCGATCATGTCGTTGCAAACATGACATTTATTCCATTGGGTATCTGGCTTGGAGCACCACAGATTACAATTGGCTTATATATATGGAAAGGTATCATCCCTACCTTGTTAGGGAATATCATCGGCGGAGGTATATTTTGTGGTCAGTACCGCCATCCATATTCGCACATAAAGCCTCTAAACTGATGAAAACCCTAGGGACTTACTATTGGTACATGTTACTTCTCGATCTCAACACCCTACCTTTGTATGGCAAGGAGAGAGCTCGGAGTAGCTCATTGAAGTCAGTGTCGTGCTCAGACCGAGCGAGCACTAAGCGACCGGACCTTGAGGCATCGGCTGGAGGTTTTGGTGACTCAAACCTACATATAAATGAGTAGAAGGGATATTCAAGTGAGATGGAATATAATAATGTATCTAATTAATTATGTAAATCGCAATCTCGATCGGAGTTTGAGAAATTTGTTTATTATAGCACGTGCGTCGGTGTACTACGTTCTAAATTCAGTGAGGACTGGGACAGCGCCGATCGATTTCTTTTTGCTCCCATTTCTCTGACTTGCTAAGACTTGCGATTGTATGGATGCATATTGCGTGATGCTAGCTGTGACATATATCCGGTTTATTAGCCGACAAGCCGTGACAGCAAACCGGGGGTTTCGAGTTGCTTACCTTATTAAATGCAGATAGGATTAGTTGTTGCTTGGAGTGTTACCACGGTATATGTATTCTCCATGTGGTTGAGAAATTCGAAGTAAACTTACAAGGTAAGGAAAGAGGTACAACCAGCAATGAAGCGAGAGGCCGAAACCGATCGGCACGACCACCCGACTACATCCCACTCGGGGACGCAAAGGGATAGCATATATATCAATCAGAACCTATTCCTGACGATAAGACAAACTCTTCATTTAGGAACTCTAGCAAATAGATTCCTACACTGAAGGTATCATTCGTTTATATAAATTCTCATTTAACCATGGCCCCCGGATTAGTGGAAGCTACTGGTTTACAGACTTTGTCGAGCCCCGTCAATCTATCTGTATTTCCAGATGGATTCAAAACATCCGGCCAACACCCGCCGATATATTCACTGGTTCGGCCATATGCCGATTTCCCCAAGACCCATACCGGGCCTACAGTGTGGAAAGCCGAGGACTATCGCGAGCATCCTGAGCTTTGGACGCATCGATTCACCGCAGAGGAAATTGCAGAGATCAGCGATGCTGCAGATCAGTTTACACAAACTGGAACAACTTTAACTGGAATATCAAAGGTATGGCTATGCACAAACATATGATGGACACGACGAGTAGGAACTAACTTGTCTACAGACGACCTTTCCTTTGCCCAATTTGTCCCAGCGGCTGGAAGAGCTTAAGCAAGATCTGATCAATGGGAAAGGATTCTTTCGTTTTAGAGGACTTCCTGTTCAGAAGTGGGATCTTCAGAAATGCGCAACAGCCTATATGGGCCTTGGCACATACTTAGGCTACTTCGTCAGTCAAAACGGCCGCGGTCATGTCCTTGGTCATGTCAAGGATTTAGGAGAAGATCCGACTAAAACCGACAGTGTTCGAATCTACCGAACGAATGCTCGGTATATAATTAATTCTACTTAAACTAACCAGTGGATCAAAGCTAACCTTTTCACTAGTCAATACTTCCACACGGATGGAGCCGATCTTGTTGGGCTCCTTTGTATCGCCAAATCTCTGTCTGGCGGGGAGTCTGACATTGCATCCACGCACCATGTATTCAATGTCTTACAGGGGAGAGATCCCGATGTGACACGAACACTATGCGAACCCAACTGGTACTTCGACCGGAAGGGTGAGACTTCCGACGGCGAAGAAGGCTGGATTCGAGGTAGCATCTTTTATCTCGAAAACGATAACGACATCTCTAGCCAACGAGTCTACGCAAGGTTCGACCCTATGAACGTGACATCGTTAGCACGTTTCAACTCGGGGCCTGATGCATGCATACCCCCTTTGTCAGACAGACAAAAGCACGCCCTGGAGGTATTCGAGAAGACCTGCGCTGAGGTATCGCTACATATGATTCTAGCTCCAGGTGATATTCAATTCCTGAGTAATACACATGTCTTCCATGCACGAACAGCCTACACGGATCATCCACCTGGGGCAGTTGATGAAGACGGCCGGCCTGCCCGACGACGACATTTGATGCGACTTTGGCTGTCGGCACCAGAATCAGAAGGAGGATGGAAGCTGCCGTACCACGATACTTTGGAGAAGAAACGAGGAGGTATACAGGTTAACGACACTCCTCCTGTCTGCCCCTTAGACGCGGAGTAAACATGTAGATCGCTGTATCAATTTTACTAAACGTTTTGACATATGTATCATTGCAAGGTATTAATGTTTTTCATTTCACAGAAGCAAATCCGGTGTTGCACTGATGATGATTAAAGTGTTTCTTTTAAACACCCGCTCCCCAAAAGGAGATCGTCACATGTGTACAATAAATATAAAAATCAAATATGACCCAAAGCTGTCAGTTTTGCTGGGGAAATGGAAACACAGGCAGCCAGGGTTGTGTATGAGTCACGGGATATCCACCTGCCCATGGCAATAGTCCAGCTCCCTCCGTTCCTGAGCCAACTGCCGTGTCTGCGGGCTGCCATGCCCATCCAAGATCTGACATAAATAAAGTTTGTAGCTCCTCAAGGCTCGGTTGGTCAACTTCTAACTCAGGGTGACCGTCCTCTGCGACAGAGTTGCCAACAACTTCGCAGGGAGAATGATCAACATCCCCTGCACTCTTAGCTTTAGGTATCGCCGTAGTGCCCGCCCTTTCGGGGGCATGTCGCTCCGGTATAGATTTGCGTGCCATTCGGAAAATTGTGAGCGGATTGAGTACGTAGTCCGGCGCACTTTGAGCTGGAGTTTCTCGGGAGTTGTTACTGTAATCCATGGTTAGCAAATAAAGACCATATCCAGCAAACAGCCACGATTACCTAGTCTCTTCCTCCTCATTTGACTGATACGGGTCATCGGGTATGATGTTTTGGGAGACCAACTCGGACTCGATACCAGAACGATCAAGCATTGTTTCCGCTGCGGAGGACTGGGATGTCCAAAAGATAGTTTAGCACAATTCAAATTGGGGACTGTGAACAGAGAATGGCCGACTAACAAGTGAGGTGGCGATTGCATTGAATGATCCCATTAACTTCAGTGCGTTGATGTTACTGCGAAGAAGGGGAATGGCAGCTAGTGCAAGAGCCTTTGCATTATCTGAATGTGGATCTAGGATTTGAGTCAAATGATACACCATGATCCGGCAGCTGTCATAGGCGATGGTGGGAATCCAGGAGTCTGCCAACATTTGAGGACCATGTGCAGCCACCTGACCAATAATAGTTGCCAAAGCCCGAGCTGCATCGAAGAGAACTTGCTGCAGATGTCTAAGGAAGTCCCCCTGTTCAGGAGGGAAGTCGAAAGCGGCCCGGAGTTTGTAAAGAGCTGGGGCGCCTAATCGATATAGGTCGCAGACGGTTTGATAGTGGGCGCAATGGAGTAAACACAGTGCGCCTAACTGCGAACTATCTTTGCGAATGTATATTGCATCGGGTGTAAATTGTAGACTTGCTGGTAGAGACTCATGCCATGCCCGGCAATCTGAATCTAAAAGCGCAAATTCCGATGCAGGGTCCCACGGAACCATAGCGTCTCCCAAGTGCTTGATGTATCTTGTTCAATGTCAGGTTTAGGGAAACGAAAAAGTATATTTGATGCTATAAATACCTTAGAACCCTTTTGCGGATTGAGATATGTCGAATAAAATACGCCATTATCCCCATGTTGGGCAAGAGAGTCTTTGTATCTAAATCTTCCGGCAGGATTTTGAGCCAACTTCCAGGATATAAAGTTTCTGTAAGGCAGGGGACTTTCTGAATGAAGTTGCGTTCGTTACAGGGAAGTTGAATCTTGATATCCCTTTCATCCATGAGTGTCAGCTGGTCTACGCCGCTGCCAACAAGTGCATCCATTATATAGCAGCTCCACATCAACCGCCGACGGGACTCTTTTGCTGTGACTGGAAGACCGTTATCGGTATCCTGGCACAGGATGTCAGTGTTGTATTCTAGATTGATCTGTAGCGCCTGAGTCATGCGTGTAGTGAGTCCACTCAGCATGAACGCGTTGGCAAAGTTCCCCAATCGAACCGCATAATCATGAAGTAGAACGGCCGCCTTGCTAGATCATCAGTTTCAGAATCAAAATAGGCTTAGTTCAGAGCGCACCATAAGACTTTCAATTGTCACACGATCTATTCTTTCAAGAATAAGACTTTGGGCAGTTTTAGCCCATTGGGTGCCTGCAAGAAGGACGAATTTGGGCTCAAGCGGAGCTGTTGTCTCGCTATATGACAGAGTGTAAAACCTTCAAGAGATAAGCTCAGTGAACTCTGCTTTCGAGTTGGCCGGGCTTACTGGGCTCCCAATGCACAAATAACGTGTAAAAGGGCATGATTGTGGTGGTTCGAAATTTCTCCATCCAATTGTTGTAGGAAAGAAGGTTTATGGATAAAGGCAAAGGCACGCAGAGGGTGGATGTTGATAAAATACTGTTCGACTAGCATCGCGATTCTTGATGGGTTGGGAAGGTGTTGGGTAGTCAGCCTGCAGCTAGTGAGCAGAGGTGTAATATATAGGAAAAGATTCGTAGCTCACCAGTCCAGTGGAGATGACGAACTCCCGGTTTCCACCAGGGGAAATTCCTGTGTCATAGACGACGTCTGCATTAAGCTAGATGGGCTGGATGGCGTCTGGTCAAAAGGCCGTTCAGGCATGGAGGGTAGGGATGGAGAGAAGTCCCCCTTGTCTGTTGGGGTCGCGTTGACTCTGCGCACCCAAGTGGGCTGTGTAGACTCGG